TAACTAAAGATAAATAAATTAAAAAGAAATTGTTTAATGAAATTAAAGAACATAAATTTGAATAAAACAAATATTCAAGATATAAATTTAAAGCAATCTTTAAATTAATTTAAGGCGAAAAAAAAATTAATCCATCCAAATGAAAAACTGCAATTATTTCTAATCTCCACCTTCAAAGCGCTTTCTAACCTGCCCAACGCTGACTTTTGTTACACCCCATTCACTTCTTTTTAAGCACTTCATTTACGCCGTTTCCTGGCATCATTTCCATGCCATAATCGGCATACCGACCGCCTGCAGCCGACTACAACCGCAAGCCGCAACAATTAACGCAGGCATTTTTCGTGCAATTATTTGTCACCCGTCGTTTGGGCGATAGAAATCGCAAATATTTTCATAACTAATGTGTGGCTGTATTTATGTATGGATGTGTGTGCGTGTGTGTGTGAGAAAAGTATAACTCTAAACGCGCCGTGCCAGACGCTTGAAAGGGTTACTGCGTAGCAATGGCAACACTGCGAGTAATTTACACTGAAGTGCTACAATAACAACAATATGCATTAACACATTAACAGTAGCAGCATCAACAATAACATAATCATTAATATTGTTTTTATTGTTGTTGTTGTTATGATTGTAACTGCGTTTTGCAGCCACCCTAAACTGCTTTGACGCCGAATTTCCTGCACACTAATGAATTTGTATGAATTTCATATTATTTATGGTATGCCAAAAAATATATTTATATGTTTTATACTCTGTATGGAGTTTGTAATACCCAGCAGGAAATGTTAGAGACCCTTTAAAGTATAACAGCATGATAAGCTGAGTCGTTGGGCCTTGTCGAGACCGCCGATTTTGGACCACTATAGCGTATAGCTGTCATACAAACCTACCGATCAAAATCCAGTTCTTGTATAGAAAACTTTTTTATTTAAAAATATATCTTCATGAAATTTGGCATAAATTATTATCCTAAGCATTACTACAATATCTCAAGAAATTGCTCAGATCGGACAACTATAGCAAGTAGCTATCATACAAAGTGAGCGCTTGAAATCAAGTTTTTGTATGCAAAACTTTTTTACTCGAAGAGATATCTGAACCAAATTTAGCATGAGTTATTTCCTAAGACAGCGCCACAATATCTCAAGAAATTGTTCAGATCGAACTACTATAACATATATCTGCCATACAAAGTGAGCGCTCGAAATCAAATTTTTGTATGGAAAAGTTTTTTACTCGAAGAGATATCTGCACGAAATTTAGTATGAGTTATTTCCCAAAACAGCGCCACAATATTTCAAGAAACTGTGCAGATCGAACTACTATAGCATATAGCTGCCATACAAAGTGAGTGACCGCAATCAAGTTTTTGTATTGAAAACTTTTTTATTTAAAGAGATATCTTCATGAAATTATCCGCACATTACTTTTCAAGGCAACTCTGCAATATTTCAAGAAATTGTGCAGATCGGACTACTATAGCATATATCTGTCATACAAAGTAAGCAATCGCAATCGAGCTTTTGTAAGGAAAACTTCTTTATTCGTGCAATGTATTAAGACTTCAGTGCAGCCGTACTTAACTTTTTTTCATGTTTTATATGAACATATATATATATATACGTATGTATATATATCACCGCGTGCTGCTTCAGAATTGCCCTTATTGCAAGCATTTGTAACGTTGATCCTAGCTTACTAATGTCCTTAATGCTTAATGTTTTCATTTGTAGCAACATACACACACGCACAATCCCATATAAAAGCATACACAAACATCCACACATAAAAATATTTCTCATCACAGCTCTACTCTCGCCACTGTTCGACATTTAAAGCGCCTTATTTGCTATAAACCCATATCGAGTCAAAGGCAAGCCGTCCCTGAAGTGCTATTCATAAAGCAAAAATAAACGAAAAAGAAATCGAAGCCTTCTACAAAGCCGCTACACGCATATTTGTCAAACAATCGCACCCTTTTCGCAGCGCAGCTAGAAAAATTTGTCATAACTAAGTGGCGGGCAATCAAAAATATACACTACAAACGAATCCATGCAACCCTTTCGCACAAAAATCGCACGCACAACATAAATAACGGTATCTACGAGTATATGAGCACACACAAACATACATTCACACATAGCGGTATTAGTGTCGTCACTTTACCAGCAATCTCCTGCCGCATTCACTTTATTTACGCTACAATAGCACTAATGCCATACACTTTGCACTCATTGTGCGCATACTTTTGTGACACACTGGTGTCAGTGACTTATAAGCTGTCAGCTGTTGTGGCGGGGGAGCTTAAGTGTTTTCGAGCAGCGTTTGATTGTGTTTAGCGGATTATTTTTGATTTTTTGTAATGTCAGCTAATTACTGGAGCAAGTACTCTTGGGAAGATTATAGGGTGTCTATTGTTTTGGGTAGTGCAGGTGTTTTTGAAGTGGAAGTGTAGCAAAATTCTCTAAATTGAGGAAGCTTATCGCTCTAAGAAACCGAAATAAGTGATTAAAAAGATGTAGAAGAGCTTACGCTCCCTCTGTGATTATGTAAAAGAAGTCACTTATGTATGTGAGCGCTCTCTCTCTCCCGCTCTGTTTTTTTTATAGTCGGTCTCTCTCTTTCTGAGTCTATCGAAATCTATCCCCTTTTCTTTTTAAGTTTCTCTCTCTAGGTGTTTTTCTTTAACTCTCTCTAATTATTATTTTTGCCCCTCCTTATCACTCTGTGTTTCACACTTATTCAATATACATATATCTTTTCGCATATCTCCATCTCTCGATTTATATGTCTCTCTATTACTAGCTTACGGTATATCTTTATATGAGCATCTGTATCTCTCAAAAGTTCTCAGTTTTTCTCTCTCTACCCTTCGGTGTCTCCCACTGCCACTTCTCACATCTATATACCCCTCTGTGTCTCTCACTCACGCAAGATCTATCTTTCTGCATGGCTCCATCTCTAGATTTATATTTCTCTTTCTCTTAACTTTTTTCTTTCTATGCGCATATCTGACTCAAAAGTTCTGAGTTTTTCTCTCTCCATTTTTTTGTTTAGTTTGTCTATCTCTCACTCTTTCTCAGCGATATATTTACGCCTATTTCCATCTCCCGATTTATCTTTTTACGTCTCCCTTTAACAATCAATTTTCCTGCCTGTATCTCTCTCTCTCTCTCTCTCTCTGCCTCTCTAAAGTTCTGTGTCTCTTTTACAAATATATATTTATATGCCTCCCTCGTCCTCCGTATAAACCACAGTGCCTCTCGCTATCTGAATATCAAACATTATGCGTCTCTCTTTCTCAGTTTTCAGAGAGATATTCCTTGAGATTTGCATCTCAGAAATTAGTCAGAAGATGAAATATTTGACGCTTCAGTGGTATATGATTTCTTTTAATCAACAAATTAAACACTGATGGAAGAAGACTCCTTATAAAATCTCTCAGAATCTGAACCTCTCGAAATTCTACCGTCACCTAGCTTACAAAATCTTTCTTAACACCATATTTATACATTTATACATAAATTTCAACTTGTACTTGGATATTCTAATTAGCCTTTTGCCATTCCACCAATTGTTGTTACAGGCAAGCCCTCATGTCGAATCGCGGGTCCGATTCGGACAAACTCAATCCGACACATGTTAGCAGCTCACGTGCGCCACTGCATTTGGGTCATACCGGTCGGCCACCGCACCACTTGCATCCGCATGCGGCGCTACACGACAATCAGGCGGACGACGAGGACAAGCTGTTGGATGTGGTCGGACCGCCGCAGAGCCCACTATTGCCTTTGAGTCATTCGTTGCAACAGATGCATGCGCATCAGCAATCCGGTAGGTCTAAATAATAGTATTTTACATGCTTGAAGTAAGGTCAGAAGAGAGCTTAGCTCACTTCAGATCGTGCATCCACATTTTTATGCTAAGTAGTATTACGCACGTTTCAGCTCACACATTTATTTTCTTATTACCGCCATTTTTTGTTTATTTAATTTAATCGATTCCATTTTTCTAACCAATTTAAAGCCCTTGCAGCCTGGTTCAACCATTTGGCCGGTGCCGGCGATCATGCGAACGAAGAAGCTCTACGTCGTCGTCTACAATCCGACGATGTCGAACGTGATGGCAGCGATTCGAGCTGTTCGGAGAGTGTAGGCGGCAGCACGGGTGGTGCATTCCGGCCCACCTCGTCGGGCAGTCCGAAAGAAGGCGCTGCTGGTGGTTTAAATGCAGCTGGCGGCGCATATCCTTCACCGAACATATCGGTAGGCCCACCGATACACCCGTCGCCGCATCTGTTGCCTTACCTCTATCCACATGGCCTCTATCCGCCACCGCATCTGGGGCTGCTACATAATCCGGCCGCTGCGGCCGCCGCCATGAATCCGGCCAGTCTCAATCCGGGCTTGCTATTCAACGCGCAATTGGCGCTCGCCGCACAACATCCCGCCTTATTCGGACACTACTCAGGACATACGCCCGTCTCACCGCTACAGGGACTCAAGGGACATCGTTTCTCGCCATACAGCTTGCCTGGCAGTTTGGGCTCTGCCTTTGATGCCGTTACGCCTGGTTCGAATGCGAATCGCGGTGGCCCGTCAGGCGCTGGAGATGCCTCAACACTGGGACCTGGCAGTAGTGGTCCCGGTAGCAGTATAGAAAATGGACCGCGCAGTTTGAGCTCCAGTCCACGTCCACGTGCCTCATCCAACTCACCGCCGACGCGTCCGATTTCTATGTCGCCAACGACGCCACCATCACTGCTGAAGCGGCAGAATTCACCCTCAGAGCTGAAGAGTATCGAGAAAATGGTCAACGGTTTGGAAGTGCAACACAATGGTAGTGGCAGCAGCGCTGGTGTGGGCATGGGTATTGGTATTGGTGCGCTGGTCAGCGGCGCTTTGGAGGAGCTGCAACGTAAGACACCAACACAAGTGGATCAGTGACATTTGTTTGATCGAGACGATAACGACCGTTCGTCCGTTATCGATCTCGACGATGTGTGACCGCAAGAGCAGGTTTTCCTGTTGCTTTAGTGGGCTTACAAAGGAGCCTACGCGCATATGAACGCGGTGGCAATGCAGCTAACAAAATGGCAGTCAACAACCTACACTGCGACAAAAATATGTCAATTGCTTGTTAGGCTACTAGGCTAAGGCTAGAGTGTAGTGTCACAGTTTAAGCCTCTACCGCCAATGCACCTTTACTTGTCTCTCGTATGTATATAATAATAAGTATCTATGTATATTTAGCTTAAGTAGCATAACAAATAAGCTTGAAAGCGTTTATCTACTTGTTTAAAATTATGTTCCACATACGATCCACACACAAATGTTTACTAAAAAGAGTATTTTCGTGCATAAATGCGGCAGTTAAGCAAAAATAATGTGGGGCTAGCTTAACAATGCTGTACTATAAGCGATTCATGTGAAATACTTGTTTCGCAAGGCACTAAAAGCAAATTTATTGAATTTTGTGCACACATTTCATTTTTGGCTTACGTTCTACATAACATCCACTCAAATTTAACACATTTCTTTTACGAAAATACTTTGCTTTTAGTTATACGTTGAAATCATCATAAACTAGTTATGTTCCACATACAATCCACATACGTTCCATACTTTTTTTCTACATTTACACATTCTACATTTGCTTTGAGCATTTTTTTTAGCTGCTTAATGTTATATTTTTGTTTAACTGGCGCCTCTGCCTACACCAGCAACTATATCTGCAAGTATTGTATCACACATAGTTATTTATATAGATTTAGCATCATATAACTAAAAAATTTTGATTTTGTACACTTTTGCGTTTTAAATTTAGTTAACTTTTTAAGTTCTCAAACCAAAGAGTTACTTTCAGTGTAAAAAATATAATTTTTTCTAACAAAACCTAAAAATACTACTAAAACTTAGTTCTTGCTGCTAATTTGCATAAAAATATAATTGTGTTTAATTTTGAAAAAAAAGTTATCTTATCACATTTCTCTTAATTGTTTCGCACGTACACTGTGAAAAATATTTAAAAACACTTCTCTTTAGCCGAATATGTAAGTGACTTGCCCCCGAAAACCCAAAAAAATGCCTACTAAATTTAGGAGAGGGCGTGGCATTCAACATTACACGCTCAGAGTATTATAATTTAACATAGGACATTGTATAAATGTGTAATTTTTTCTGCAAATAATTAAAAAAATATTAAAATATATAACGAATAGGCGTAAAGGCTTGTATTATTTAGTTTAAATTTTTTAAATGCTAATAATTTGTTTTTGCAACAGTTCAATATGTTCCTCACTTACATGTAATAATGTTTTAAAATATTTTTTTTTTTTTGTTTAGTTAAAAATGTTAAATTAAGTTTTAAATATATGTGAAAAATAAACAACACTTTTTCAGCCGAAAAGTGCAACAAATCAATTTAAAAAAATACACTGTAAAACAAAATGGGAAAGCAATATTAATTATAGTTAATTAATGCACTGAAATATTAATTAAAAATTACACATTTGTTTGTTTTGCGCTGTTAAAAATTTCGGTGTGCAACAAAGCATAAAAAATTTAAAAAAATCAGTGTTGACAACCGAGAAAATAATTAATATAGGTTAAAATAAAAAATGGCAAAAAAATCGATTTTAAAAAGAACACACTGTAATTAACAAAAATTAAAAAAAAAAAATTATATTTAAAAAAAAAGAAATAACACAGCAGTTCAGGAATAATGCTGAATGTAAATAAATTAAGTTATTAAAATTAAAAAAATAAATAAAATAATTAGTAAAACACAATTTCTCAGCAAAAGCTTAAAACCGAGTATGTGAAATTGCCACCCTTTAAACTACAAAAAATTAACCTAAATGTAGTATATATAAAACACAAGCGTATATAGAGTACACACATACAAATATATATTTATAAATTCCTATAAAATTTATATATATATATTAAAAAAAAAATAAATAAATTGATTAGTGTAAAAATGCATAAAGTCCCACTTATCCTTTGAGTACATTAAGCGAGAAAGCAACAAAAAGCAGAACACAGTGTATGAAGTTAAAAAAAGAAACATATAATATAAAAATAAAAAATTATTAATATGTACTAATTTAAATGCATATAAATACATACATATATACAAAATTCACAGTAATGTACATAGTTACAATTAAATTTATACATATATAAAACTATATAAATGCATATTGATTAGTAATAAAGATACTTCTACATGAAGCATTAATTAAATAAAAACAAACACAATACAGTTTTTTCTTTACAAAAAATAAAAAAAATAGGATAGAGAAACCAATGAAAAGTAAGTATTTCTTCAATTAATACAGGTTTCCGAAAAAATATGCAGAAAAATATTAAGAAAAATTGCAGAAAACATTATCTTTTGAAAGAAAAATATCAAGCATTTAAAAATATTCAAAATTGCAGATATAAAACATGCGTTCCACAGGCGATACACAATATTTTTTGCCGTATAAAATTCTAGCTACTTTAAATGTTGAAAACGCATGTTTTTCGCAAAAACTAAGCATGTTCACATACGATCCACATATGTCCCACATTTACAAAATGTGCCAAATCGCATTATTGGCTTATAGTTTCTATTTTCTATGATACTTTCCAGGTAATAATGATACTAATTAGCTGAAAATCGTGGTTTCTGCATAAAATTTCCCATTTTTACAAATTATGTATTATTGACTATGGCGAAACTTATACCTTTTCAACGAAACTGAATCACTTCTTTAAAGAAAAATCTAATTTTTATATGAAAGTTTCAATTTTAGTAAAGCAGGGGGGGACAGCAACTCAAATTTCCAGACAGCATGTATGTTTGTAGGTATTTTGTGAATTTGTAAAGGAAATAATAATTATGGTAAATACACCTTAAAAAAATTTGCACCCAACATAGTTTCCGAGTAGTAAAATGAAAAGTGTTATTACCAAATACATCAAATTTCCTTCTAAAAATTACGTTCCACATGTAATACACATGTAAGTTCAGCACTTTTAGTTTCTAAATAATTAAAACGTTGAAAGCGCATGTTTTTGTGGAAAATTAAACAGATTCCACATATGTTCCACAACCCAAAAATATTTTACAATAGTAGACTTAACTGTTATTGCTACAATTTATAGAAGCTTTTGCTAAATAATAATATTTAACAGCAGTGACGGGTATTGTTTGTATATATGTAATGAAATATTTCTAATGGATTTCTTACGAATTTAATATCTCTATCTAATTCCTACAGTAAAGATCTCTCTCTCTCTCTCTTACCCACTCTACCGACAAATGCTGTAACGCTCAAATACAATAAATGTTTGATTAGCATCAGTTGTTGTAACAGCTATGAAAATCGAATAACAACAATAAACTAACAAAAGTTACAGCCTGCACTCCCCAGTTAGCGAGCTGCAATTGACACAAAATTTTTTTGGGCTGTGACAAATTGCAACAACGCGGACCAGCGTGCGCTTCGGTCACTCAGGGTCGGGTCAGTGGCTGACCCCTGCATATGTAAGTGACCATTACAGCTACTAGTAAGTATATATATTTTACTGCTGCTGGTGTAACTGCTGTAGCTGAGTGTGGCATGTGGCATGTGACACATGTGCCTTGGCTATAAATGCAGCTAACTTTCATTTATTCGTTGGGGGGGGTGGCATTGATAATCGTACGCGCGTATTGAGACCTCATCGATTTTCGACTTGATATGCAAGTCAATGTGTGGCGATTGTCTGCGGCTGTCAATTTCAAAAATTATAAACAATTTATTGCATGAGAGTGGAGTGTAGAGCGCGTGAAGAGGGTGCAGTGGATATGCGAATACTCTTAAGTTGATAAAGTTATCAAAACAAAACACAGACACAAATACAAATAAAGAAAAATAAATGTGATATGTGTAGCGGTAATTACGAAGGGATGTGCAATGAAGTGACAAAAGACAGGGTGTGAGGGCAAAGGACCCACATACTACTTAGTGTGGATGCAGACAATTGAAATATGTGAAGTGCATTTAATTTTTTTGTCGTTTAGAGTGGCATTGTTCCTATTCTCATTTATTGTAAATAGTAATTTTTGGTAATGGGAAAAGGACGGTAATATTAGTTAATAATTTAAAAAAAGTTACAAAAAAAAACAACAATTCGGAAAAAATATAGACTGAGTTTTCCTATAAATTTTTATATCTTCGAATTCACCACACTTAAAAAACGTTATGAAAACTTCTATCTGGCAACACCAAATATTTTTTTAAGTTTTCTTTTTTTGAATGATTTTTTTTTATAAATATTTTTCCACTTTTACACATACAAATTATTTTGCTAAATAAATTTCCATCTGGCAATACCTAATCTTTTTTGAAGTTTTCTCTTTTTTAATGATTACGATTTTTTTTCTTTTTTTTTTTGGAATTTCTTCTTAAACCAAACAATTTAATTTGTGTAAAAACTCATCAAATATTTTGATCTGGCAACCCCAAAATATATTTGTAAGTTTGCTCTTTTTGAAACTTTTTCTTTTTGTAAGTAAATTGTTTTCATACCATTCTTTGTATTTTGTCAAAAAATTCATCACATAATTAGATCTGGCAGCACCTAAAAGATTTTTAATTTTTAGCTTTTTCTGTGTTAATGTGCTTTGGTAACTATTTTTAACTATCCAAATTTTATTTACCTAAAAAGTTGTTTAAAAGTTTCAATCTGGCAACACCAAAAAATTTATTTCAGTTTTATCTTTCTGTTTTTTTTTCTTGGAAATATTTTTTTAGCAACCAATTTATTTTGTCTAAAATAATAATCAAAACTTTCAATATGGCAACTCCAAAAATTGCTTTGAGTTTTCTTTTTTTGCATGATTATGCTTCTATTTTTTAATTTTTTTTTTTTTTGTCATTCAGTAATTTATTTTGTCTTAAAACCATAAAACCACATAAACCTTGATTTTTTTGTAAGTTTTTTTATTGACGATGATGATTATTTTTTGGAAATGCTTTTTCTAAAACTCAATTTATTTTGTCTATAAAATTAATCCAAAACTACGATCTGGCAATACCATAAATATTTTTAAATCTCTCTATTTTGTAATTCTAATAATTATGGGCTTTTTTGTATATATTCTTTACATTTCCCAATTTTGCGTAAAGAACAGTCAAGAACTCAATCTGGCACTCTCTACATTTTTAAGTATATTTAGCCAAATTACGAGCTAAGTCGTTTCTAAGCATAAATCTATAGTCAAAGCAAGAAACTGCCTTAACGACGAACCCATATGAACTTAGTCTTCAATATAAAAATTAAAATTTTTGAAAATGGGGATCTATTTCCCAACATTGTCTCCTTACAATTCGGTACTTTGTTGGAAAAAAAATTTAGTGGACGTCTCTAAAGTAGGATTCGGAGACGGCAATAATTTTTCTAAGTTCGGAAACAAAATTAAATCGCAAGGTGCCAAATTTAGTCAGTTTGATGAAAAGGGTGGACAATTCCTAACTTAACTCGAATAAAGAGGCCAGGAAAGGTGTGAGCTATAATGGAAGAGCATACTATTTTGTGGCGGATTCGCCGAACGTAAGATAAGTAGTGACTCCCCATGTGACGTTTTGAGGTTCCTACTGACTGTGCTATCTGGTGTACCTTGAATCTGTGATGTGCCAATACGAGACCGTGGGCATACGTGGTAGCCATTTCCAGTAAGCTGGACAACACTTATCAAAAACAAGATTGCCAAGGTTGAAACTCGTGAAAAAAAGCTTTCACGGTCGCAATGAAAAGTAAAGAGCCAACGAATATACAACGTAAAATCAATGATTGATCCAACTTTCTGACTTGCATATCAAAAATACGCATCCAATGACCTATTGACTTTGGTATTTTACAGTTCTCTGAAATTCGAACAGATACACGTAAACGCTTGCACACGCCGTCAAAATGAAACTACGATTTGGACACTGTTAGTTCAAAAAGTTTAGATATATTCGAAGTTCTTTTAAGGACATTATTTTTGGAAGAAGAGTGAAAGAGGGCTCTGAAATTTTACAACGCTTCTTCCTCCCTACGAAGCTCAACACTTGTCGGAAACGCCGATATCAGACTACTATAGCATATAGCTGTCATACAAAATCACCGATCAAACTCAAGTCCTTGTATGGAAAACTTTTCTATTTGACAAGATATCTTCAAGAAATTTGATACAAAATATAACTCAAGGACAGCGCTACAATCTCCGAACAAATTTATCAGATCGGACCACTATAGCATATAGCTGTCATACA